ATATTTTTCAAGTAATACATTTTCTCCATCAATCAACCTTTCACCTAAAGATTCTGCTATTTTGTTAAATTTTGTTTCTATTAAGTTGTAGTAGTCTGTTTTAAATTCAACTAACTTTAATATCTCTCCAGCATCCATATTATCTACATTTCTCTTAATTCCATTTCTTAAATTTTTGTGATATTCTAATAAAAAATCATCAAACAAAAAGAAATCAAGGTTTATCTTCTTATTGATAAAAACCAAATCTTTTAGTACAAAGTCTAAATTTGAAATAAAAGACTTGCCTTCAGTATTAAACTTTTCCCTTATAGATGATTTAATAACTTTAATAAGTTTAATCTTAAGGTTTTTCAGATTTCTTGTTATGTAGCGTGGATACATTTTAGCAACCTGTGTGAGTACAGGATCTTTTCCTTTATCACCTTCTATAGCCATGCGTGTTAATTCATCTCTTTTCTCTTCTCGGTCAACAATTTCATTAATATGAGATATGGATTTGTAATTATTAATAAAATCTTTTATAAGTTCCATTAAGATTAAAGTAAATTCTAACGATTTTTTTTGAATTATCTCTTTAGCATTTTCAACTCTACTTAAATCATCAGGCAACAGTTCATAATTGTATTGCTGTAATTCACAAGCAAATTCTTCATCTTGGTAAACACGATTATGGTAAACCAACAAATCATCATCTGTTAAATCATCATTAATATTGTTTAATTTTTCAATAAAGTTTTTGATCTTAAAAAACCTTTGATGAGCAACACAAATAGAAGAAATTGTTTTATAATCTTTGATTAGTGCACTAAAATCCTCCAAAATTTGGATGTTTTGATTCTTTTTATTTTCAAACAGCTTTAAGTTTAACTTAAGCTTATCAAAATTATTGTTTAAATTTTTAATTTGACTGTAAGCATTAGAAATTTTAGTATTAAACTTATTCTGATGAATTTCATAGTTATCTTTAGCCTCAGCTTCTAACATCTCTAATTTTGAATCAATGTCACTAGGCTGTCTTAATACTTCAGATAGATCCATAATTACTTTTTCAACATAAGCTTTTGATTTATCATTATATAAACTACTTTTACTCTCTGCACTGTTTTTTTTCTCACCTTGCATAAATTTATTAAAAATTTATTAATAAATTTATTCAATTCTTGTATTTCTTTTTCTACCAACATTCATTAAATAATCTTTAGCAATACCAGCGTAGGTTTTTACTTTCTTATCATTTTTAACGAATAACATTGAATCAACAACTGTGATACTGAAAAAGAAACAAAAAGGAATAGACCACAACGTAGTGAATGATATAATAACTGATATAATTGATACACGAGCATACATGAAAAATCTAATCAATAAAAAGTGATTGATCAAGATCAGCACATTACCACCAATAAAAAGAGGATCCTCAACTGTAAATGAAGGATAGTTTTGTAACAAACAATTGAAAATATAAACAGTAATTAGACTGATACCAAGTTGGAATAAAGGCATTCCTTGCCAAATATAAAGAAAATGCATCAAAGTTACACCATAAATCAAATATTGTATTCTTTTCTTAGCCGCATAAGTATTCTCTTCTACGTATTCTATGAATCTTAAAATTGATATACACGTTCCCATTATTAAACCTGCTATAACAGCAAAAATACAAGTAAGCTTAAGTCCTTTAAGAAACATTTAAATGTGGGGATTAAAAATTTTATAAATAAAAATATTAATTAACCCCAATCTAATGACACTTATAAATGTTGGAAATAAGTATGATAATACAGGTGTTAATCAACAACCAGTGTATGCTAGAAAATTAATAGAGAAATCTCCATCTGTAATAGGTCTTAAGAACTCAAAAGCTGCAGTGATGTTAGTTTTAAAGCCAATTGAATCAAAACTAAACATCTTAGAAAAGGACAATAGAATTCTAAAGATATCAGAAAATAGGTATTTAGCCACTACTGGACTTGAATCTGACATACAGTTT